ATGATTTCCTTCTGTTTTTTGTCATTATTTATGTTTTTGTTTCCCTCATTTTTGTTGATTCAATCAAATACATTCCAGTTTTTCCTTTGTGTGTGTGGAAGTGCTATACTTTCCAGTTCCATTCATAGTTTCTTCCTCTTTGTGTTTATAATCTGACACATCTTTCTATATTTTTACTTGAAAATGGGATAGTAAGCATCTCCCTCACCACCACAGGCTCTAACTCCCTTTCCCAACCCCTCTCCCTAGAAAGACTAACCCTTTAGAACACCTTCACTTCCCTTCTTCTCTCCCTCAGGTGAGACCTCTGGAGCATTTCTGTTAACCTGAGCTCCATTCTCAGGACCTAATTCCTGAGGACTGTAGACAGAGTTGAGTACCTGTGGTTGTAGATGGTGATTAGACTTTTCCTTGCAGGATGCTCAATGTGTTTCAAAAATCCTATTTATCATTTAGATCAGAAGTGGACACACTATAGCTAGAGGCCCCAATGCTGCCCAGTATCTGTTTCTGTATGGCCTTCAAGCTAGGAATGGTTCAATTTTCCAATGGCTTGAAAAACATCAAAAGAAGGATATATCCCGACACAGGAAAACTATGAGAAATTCAAATTTCAGTGCCATCAATAAAGTCTTACTGGCACCCCACCACACATACTTGCTTCTACCTTGTCTACGGCTGCTTTTGTGCCCCAGTGTCAGAGTTGAGCAGTTGTGACAGAGACCTAGAAGGTCCTGGGTGCCATGACTCTGGGATGGCTTCACAGCAGCTCACCCAGCCATATGTTTTATTTATTCATTTCTATTATCGTGCACAGGCACCATGTCAAAACAGGAAAAGTGGACTTCGAATGTCACACTTTTAATGCCTGGTGAGGTGCAGATTATTATTTTATCGAATTACATGGCAGAGCTCTGTGTTTTTTATGGACTGTGTTAATAAAATACAGTATATACTGACATCACAATAATCCTAGCTCACAGAAAAAAAAAATGAGACAATTTCAAGCAATACATCTTATCACAGCAGAATTTCTTCACAAAACAAAAAGACAGAGAGAGAGAGAGAGAGAGAGAGAATAGGCTACAATCAAAGTACGTTTCCAAGTGGTTCATTTGTTAGCCAAGCGAGGAAAGCCATTTGCTGGTGGTAAGTTAATTAAATCGTGTTTGAGTGTATAAAGTATCCAGAGAAAAGAAGCTTGTTAAAGATGATCAGATTTGGGGCAAGGGCAACTGCTTGGATGTGGCCCAAGGGCCACAGACACTGTAGGTGACACCACCGTGTAAAGCCACATCTGCAGAGTTGGACCCACCCCCTAGTGTGAGCAAGTGAAGCAGAGCACAGAAGTAAGAGAAGACCTGGGGAGGGTTAACAGTTGGCCTCTTCATGTGCCAAGCACTGTCCTCAGCATTTTGTATTTATCTCACCGTTACATTCTTTCTAGAACTTACCACTACCTGAAAACATCTAAGGTACTATTCCTTGCCAGTCTCCCCTGTGCGAACAAGAATTCTGCCTGCCTTGCTGTCTCCCCAGTGCCTCACACACATAGGAGCTAAGTAAACATCTGGACATATGCATGAATGTCTTTTAGGCAATGGGCTCAGAAGGACTATATGCCTAAGTCTGTCCAGATGGAAAGTATCCATTCAACATATATCCGTATAGGGCTGGGCCTTCCTCGTTTATAAATGGAGGATGTTGTAGACATCCCACCCCATGGGGCAGCTCTGCAAAATTCCCTGGTCCTGCCCATGTTTCCAACTAGGAGTGGGTCAGGCTGGGACTGAAGCCCAGGCCTCCACGTTTGACCAGTCTGACACATGGCAAAGACTGTGGCCAACTAAGTGATCTGAAAATCTCTGTGTACTCTGGGTCCTGCTCAAAGCAAATGGGGCTGCCTTTTGGAGTAAGTCCAGCCTTCTACTCGTGAGCTGTACTGGGAAACCTCCTTCCTGTTTCCCCTGAGCTAGACTTAACTCTTAGATATGAAGCCACTTCACCGTGAGGTGGAGACAGTCTTCTCCTCAAATGAATGAGCCTGTTGATGTAAAATGGCTGCCCAAGGTATACAGTTGTTACATGGTACTGCTAAGGGTTGAGTCCAGGCTGTGTGATCCCAGAAGTTCAATGCTTACCAACCTAAGAAGAAAAGTCTCTTGCCAAGGAGACTCCAGCTTCTTGAGAGCACACTAGCCTCTCAGCTCACTGGGCAAGAATTTAACAGACATGCTGGAGAGATAAGGGCTCAGAGGCCAGTCAGTGCTGGGTTCAAATCCTGACTTGATCATCCTGTGACCTTAGGCAGATTGCTTCACATGTCTTGAGCTGGTCTCCAGCATGGCTGCCTTTGCAGAGGGGCCCTGATGGCCTGAGTTCAGAGCAGGAAGAAAACAAGCTTTTTTTTGGAGTAACTTTTCATGTTGTTTGAATTATTTTTTACCATGTGCATATATTACCTCTCCCAAATATTTACACATAATTTTAGGAGGAAGAAAGTGATCTACTTAATAATTTCAAAAAAAAGTGCATAGGAAAATAATAACCTCCTCCTTGAATTTTTATAAAGCTTCAAAATAAGGTATAGAGCCCGTAATGGCACACAGTAGGTGCTAAGTAAAAAGAGTAGGGATCGGCTGGAGGGGGGCGGGAGGCAGGTGTATTCCTGCCCCTGGGCCCAGAAGCGAACCTGAGACACAGGACAGGTATCCATTCAGCTAGAGCCTTAAGGGGCTGGTAGGGGGTACTCAGGTGCTGTGCTCTTTCCTTCCTTGCAGGACCCCAGTCTCAGGACTCCTCCACACACAACCATAGCCCTGCCCGAAGCAGTCCCTGATGAGAGGGAGGCTTTCTGCTCAGACTGTCTGCATGGGGTCTGTTGCCTGCAAGTCTGGGGCTCTTCTGCCTCCACTTCTGGCCTCCCCGGACTGAGGAGGAAAGGGCCAGTGGCCCCAGGGACACCCCAGCCTGGTGGCAGGGGCTGGCTCTGGCTCAGCATGTCTCCTGGACCACCCCCCCACCATGGCCCCTTAGGAGGCAAGAGGCATTCGATGGTATGTTTACTTGCTCCTCACAAACCCACACTCCTCATTCTCGAAGGAAGTCACTGCTGCTCCACCACCAGCAGGCCTGTGTGGGGCAATTAGATCTATGAACTCACCAAGTGGGACATTATTCCATGACAGATATTTCACCAGAGAATAATTATACTTCATAAGACTGCTAATAAATCAAGCGACACAAACGAGCAACGTGCACTTTATCACCTTTGTCCTCAATCAGCATCTCAGGGCTGGCCCGCGGCTGAGGGAGCCTTTGAGTGGCCCCCATGGTCGGCCCTTGACCCCTCCTGGCAGCCCTGGGAGTTTAGGCTGCTGCTCCGCAGATGAGGAAGCCAACCTTCATGGAGGGACAGACAGCAACAGCGGTGGATGGGGTGGAGGGTGGAGGGGTGGGGGCAGTCATGGCTCCAGCTCCAGGACTCCAGCAGCAGCACAGGGTGACCAAGCCTGTCCGCCTGAGCGGGTGAGGCTGGCCTCAAAGTGGGAGGCCTGAGATTACAGAGCTAAGGATCCTGAGTTTCAGATGGACTGTAAGTAGGTAAGTAAGCAACTTCTACCGATTCTCCCATCAGAGGGCAGGTCTAGACACAGGCAGAAGAGGAAGGGAATTGGGCCTGAGTCCTAGGAAGAATCCTGAGAGAAGGAGGGAGTGAGTAGGAGCCTCTGCAGTGAGAGTTCCAGAGGAGAAACGTGGGGATCCGAGAGAGGGGAAAGAGACAGGGTCGGGGGTGCACTGGAAGCCCCGCCCCCGGCTGGCCCCCAAGGCCCTGACACTTTCTCCTGAGTGCCTTTTTGGTGAGGGTCAGACCCCACGCTGGGGCCCATGCTGATGTGGGCAGGGCCCTGCGCCCAGAGGGGTAACCCTCATCCTGCCGTTTAAGGAACGGAACTGCAGCCTTGCTGAGGGCCTCCCAACACTGGGGTCTCAGCACAGCCGTGCTCACCCAGCTTGGACAGGAGTCCCAGGACCACCCACAGCCAGGCCTGCCCTGCAGGGGCCCACAGACAGGGAGGAGTGAGGTTTGGACATTCTCTCCCCATCTCTTTAAAGCCCAGGAGGCAGGGATTCCCACTGAGACCTACAGTGAGAGACAAGCGGGGGGATGGGGCCCACCTGACAGAAGGCAATCCCAGGACTTCAGGACCTCCTTTGGGTCTAGGCTACTGCATTTGCCCCCTCTCGTGAAAGGCCTGTGAACCAGACTGGCTCACCCATGGCTAGAGACCTGTATCCAGTATTGACACCTTGAAACCTTAGGAAGCCAGCAGCCCAGGCCTCCCACTGTGTCCCCTTTCCACTGTGTCCCCTTCCTGTACCTTCCCACCTCTTGCCCTCTGACACTCCTTGCCACCATCATTCCCCACACCCCCCACCCCACAGGCTGAGGACCTGCTTGGCCAGGCCCCACCCCACAGGCTAAGGACCCACTTGCCCAGGCCTGCCCTACAAGGACCAGCCATGCTCCCTCTGTTGATATGACCCAGCAGCCACCCTGCCTGATGAAGGTTCAGCTCCTACTGAGGACACGAGAGCAAGGGCCTGGTCATCAGGCTGGGAGGGGCAAGGCCCAGCCTCTTACCTGGAACTCAAGGAGGCCACTGACAACACTGGCTTCCGGCCCAGGCGAAATGCTGCTGTCTGCAACAGTTAGCGTGAGGGCCCAGGCTGCTCTGCCCTACACAGCCATCTCCACCCCTGAAGGAGACAGGAGCAGGTGCCGTGGGGCTCCCCTGCCTTGGTGCAGGCCCTGGCTCTATGACTGAGGGCTAGGAGAATGCAGGCCACTCAGCCACTCTGGGCCTCAGTTTCCTTGTTTTAAAACCTTAGAAGTTGGGACCAGAGGCCTCTGAGGTCTTCCTGGCTCTCATCATGGACCCCAAACATGTCCATCCCGGCCACCCGGGCCCGACAAGTCAGGATGATGGACTGCTTACCCGTTCTACAAGGCCATGTTTGTGCTTCAGCTTATACACTTTCAGCCTGGGCAAGAAGCTCTCAGCATAGTCCTTGTCCTCCAGGCCGTGCAGCAGGACGCCGTGGAAGGCCAGCCGGCACATATTGGCATGAATGTCCGCATCTAGCCTGGAGCCAATCACCAGGCACAGCCGAGGGCAGGTGACAGGCTTCTCAAATTCCACAAGGGCCCACTGCTGCCGTGGGCAGCGGCCTTCGGCGGCCTGGCCCGTCTTCTTGTCAGTCTCATCACTGTCCGTCCCCACTGATGCCAAATCCTTCTCTAGGTACTGCTCCTGGAAGAGGTATTCTCGAGAGAAGTCGAAGGAGTCCAGCACAGGCTCGTGGTCAAAGCTGTCGGGGGCAGGGCTGAAGAACATCAACCGGCCCATGACTGTCTCATGGCCTACCGTGATGTGGAACTTGGCTTTGGTCTGCAGGGGCGCCCGGAAATATGGGATCTTCTCCACAGAGATGATGGCTGCGTGGACAGTGTGCAGGGACTCGGGGGCACACACCAGGCCGCGCTCCAGCAGCTTGGGGTCAAACTGGGTGACGCAAATGCCCAGGCGGTCTCCCTGCATGGCTGAGGTGACAGGCATGTGAAACATCTGCATGGACTTCACCTTCTTCACCACCTGGGGGGCAGCAAAAGAGAAAACTCAGGAAACGAAGAGCCTTGAGGCTGGTGGGGAGGGCCTCCAGCTGGAGAAGTCCCCATCCCAGGACTGCCAACACCAACCCGGCCCCGGGCATGGCACCCCAGAAGAGTTCTGGGGAGCTCAGACTCCCCCTGTCCAGAACAAGCTCCACCCTGCAAACATGAGGCTCGCGGGGTCCCCTGGTCCAGGATGCAGGTGGTGGTCACGGCAGCCAAATCCTCAGCTACCTTAGCTCCCTCTGTCCCTCTAGTCACTGCTCCACCCCAGACCCCATTCCAGCACTTTCTTGCCTTCAGCCCTCTGTAGAGGCTTGTCACCACATGCAGAATGGCTCCCCCAGGTCCTCAACCTGCCAAACTATGGCCATTTGTCCTTGAAAGCCCAGGCCAAACCCCATTGCTCTAGAAAGTCTACCCTGACCCACAGTGGGTAGGGTCTGTCCCTCTCTCTTTGGTGCGACTCCAAGCTCCTCTGAGTCATACACAGCCTGCTCTGCTGTCACTGCCTATTCTGTGCCGATCTGCCCACGAGCCTGTGCGCTTCTCCAGGGCAGGTCAAAATGAGGGACTACAGTGTGACAGGGACTGTTCTGGTGGTGGGAACAGAGTGAGAAACAGCAACAGAACTACAAATACATTAACATTAAGTTTGTGCTGATACAATTATGAAGCTTTGTTTGTCAATATATAACTAACATAATTCTATACATATAATAGAGTACTATATTACATATAATATGTATACATATATAAAATATATAGAGAAGGGCTAGCGTGTAAGGGGAGATCTGGCTTTTCAGAGCGGTGGCCAGGGAAGATGTCTATAGAGGTGATGACTCAGCTAAGACCTGATTATAAGAAGTTATGTGAAGGTCCAGAAAAAGAGAGTTCTGAACAGGGAAACTAATGAATGTACAGGCCTAGGATGGAGGCTCTGTGGGTCTGAGAAATAAACAAAGAGGCGGGAGGGCTGCAGCAGGGAAGGCAGGGAGGGCAGGGAGGAGAGGGCAAGCTGGAAGTGGCAGAGGAGTTTAGGCAAAGGAGTAACCTGATCTTATCTCTGGAAACCACCACACCAACTACTACACCAGGCAGATTTCTGCACCCACAGTTCGTAAATCAGGAACAGACATAGGAAAGGCTCTAATAAATGTTTGCGTAAATCAATGAACATTCCTACTAAGATCCACTGTCGGAGAGATGAGATCACGCTTAGCACAGCAAAGGAATGGGTAACGTATTTCAGAGTACCTGCCATCGAAACTGGCTCAGTTAAAGACACTTTGGCTTTCAGGTTGTCGAGCACCCCCATCTGCAAAGCCCGGGTGTGTGGAGCACTCATTTTCTCCTTGGATAAAGGGAGAATGCTGAGCTGCTCTGGGCGCAGGAGGCCAGGCCCTTTCCTGGAGAGCCATAATACTCAAGTGTTTGTTTAAAGATCATTAACTACCTAACCAAGAGGTCAGGGGGCAGAGAAAGTGAGAAGTGTGGTGTCAAAAGCCACAGCCAAGATCAATCAAAGAGAAACATAAAACATCTCTGAAATGGTCTACAAGGGCAACGGGAAACTAAGATTTTCAGGAATGCACCTCAGAGTAACCAGAGAATATTATCTTACACTAAGCGTCTGTCCAGCAAGGCAGGCCCCAAATCACAGCTCTTCCCCCCCGCCACCCACCCCAAGCCTGTAGCTGCCCGGTGAGCTGTCCTCTGGCTCCCATCCCACCCGTCTCCCTTCTCCAGGCCAGCTTTCTAAAACACGTCGGATGATGCAATTCCCTTGGCACCGACCACTACACGGGCTCCCCTCTTCACATCACTACTTTCATACCTTTTGGGCGTAGCTGTTGTGAGCAGGCAGAGCCTCCGGTCATGTGAAATTCTATAGGGAATCAGCCCCCTGGCTGCCGCCCTCCCACCCCCCACACTGGGGAAGCTGCTCAGGGAAGGTCAGGGGCTCTTAACGCCCCCTTGGCTGCCCCATCAAGGACTTCTGCTTGCCTGGCTTCTCCGCATGGCCTTCCCCACATTCTCCCAACACCCGAAGCCACAACCAGGGGCAGCTTGAACAATTCCCTACATACAGAACCACATGTGCATTTTGCCTGTGAGGACCCTTCTCCTTGGGACTTCTTCCACCTGAAATTCCTGTTCATCTCAGGAGACCTCCTGGAACAGCTTCCCTGCTCACTCCAGACCGAGCTGGTTACTCTGCTTGGCCTGCTCTGAAGCTGAATTCCTGTGTTGCCATCGCTGCTTCATGGTTCTACAGTCTGTGCCTCCACATTCTTAAATTACGACAGAGTAAATATCCAGGGCCCCATCGTCCACCCTGAGAACTAAAACATCACTGATAACTTCACTGTCCTTCTGTGCTCCTCCCCCACCTAGGTCTCCTGCCCGCCTCCCAGCTGGAGGCAACCACTCTCTTGAATTTGGTGTATGGCATTCCTTTCTTTTTAGATATACGTGTACACGGTTGTGCGGAGGCTCACTACATATGTAGTACATATGCCTAATCAATACTTCGCTTTGTTTTCTGAGTGTTTGAACTTGGGAGTTTGTGCCCGTGCCGCCTACACCTGCAGCTCATTTGCTGCTGATGCTGTATGTCACACAGCACACACAGACCCCCACCCATTTGGCTTCCTGTCGATGCGCACCTGGGTCGTGTCCAGTTTTTTTGCTGGAAAATGATGCAATGAATTCCCTCTCAAACCAGAATCCTGCCTGATGCACAGCACAGGGAAGGTTCTGGAAGACAGGGGCCCTGGGCCAGAACTTCTGGGTCAGGGGTGAGTGAGGGCTCATGTCTTCTAAATAAAGAAAGTACCAGTGTACTCATCCAGCTACATGCCAGAGACTCTTGATGGATCCGTGTCTTCTCCAACATCTGTCATGGCCAGATTTCTTAATATTTGCCTATCAGACTTGCTTATTTCCCCCTTTTAAATCCAGGTTCCTATGGCTGCATCTTGGGGCCTAATGTAAAGGGCGGCTGACAGACGCTGCTTATGGAGACCCAGTGAAATCCCCAGGCCATCCAAAGAGAATGGCTGCATCTCATTCTGGAAGAGAAATGCCCCCCATGGCAAAGAAAGCATGGAGCAGAGATTCCAGAGCGCCAGGGCCTGAGTGAGCTCTTGGTGTTTCAGATGCTCCCCGGGATCGCAGCCCCCCCATCCCCGACTGTCGGCCCCCACCCCCACTAGCAAGTCCATCTCCAAGCAGGCTTCATTAAAAGCATGTTCTTTTCAACGGGGCTCGCGTTCTTAGGACTGAAATAATAAAGAATGCCTTAAGAGGGCACCGTGAAGAGCAGAAAGACAAATAACTGTGCAAATCAAGATTTCAAGGGCCCAGACAGGAAATTGTGAAACAGATAAAGATGGGGACAGGGCGGCGAGGCACGACTGTGGGCTCTGGTGGGGGCGTGCAGCCGCATCAGCACACGGACTCGCCGACAAGCCCCCGTTCTATAAGACAGACTTCAAGAATGTAAGAGACCATGGAGGACACCAAAAATACGGGGAAGAAGTTTTGCCAACTCCAGAACGGGGGAAAAAAAACCAAAAACAGGCTTTCCTTTCATTTATGGGCCAACTTTGAGAGAGTCCATCCATCTACTCAACAGCTCACTCGGATTTACTGATATTCAAGTTGAGTGGCAGAGGGCATTCACTCAACACGTGTTTATCAAGCCTCTCTCATGGACCAGGCGTAGGCCCTGCAGTGATACAGGGTGAGCAGAACCGACTCTGGAGTCTACCGCTGGGGGTCGGGGAAGAGGTGTGTGTGGGGCAGCTTATAAAGTCATCAACTGAAGTGCAGATTACAAAACCACGGGCGAGGTCCTATGGGAGAGAGTAACTGGGTGATGCAATCCTTTCTGTGTCAACGGGGAGGGCTCCCCGGAGGAGGTGGCACTAAAGAGGAGACCAGAGGAGTAGAAGAAACCAGCCACAGGGGCTTCGGGCAGAGAGAAGAGCAGAGCAGGTCTGAGGCTCTGAGGTAGGAAAGAACGTGAGCTGCGGTGGGGTGGGGGGGGGGGGGGACTGAAAGGCAGTGGGCTGGCTGGAGGGGTGGAGGTCGAGGGCGGTGGCATCTGGTTGGAGACATGGGCCCACCACCTTCACCATGAGGACACTAGAAGCCCCCCAGTGGTAGTGGGGGCCTGGGGTTGAGCAGAGGAATGACATGTGCTCTCATGCGCTTTGACAAGGTCACTTTGGCTACACGGTGTGGAGAAATAAGAAAGGAAAGAGGGAAAGCAAGGAAGGAACCATGCAATACCATGCTGGGGTGTGCTGACAGACTGGATGTGGGGACGACAGAAACACGGGCACATGAGGACTCCCCGGTCCCAGCTGGAGGAACAGCCTTGCGCTGCGGTGAGGAGGGGTGGCTGAGAGATCCGGGCCTGGGAGAGGCCTGCGAGGCAGCTGGCAGGAGGTGAGCACAGAGGTCGGAGCTGCAGGAGAGGTGGAGGCTGGAGGGGGATGTCAGGGGCTGGGAAAGGAAGACTCACACACCTGCCTCTAGCCTTTCCACCTGGAGGTCTGGTAGGTACCTCCAGCCTCCCACATCTAAGACTCCTCTCCTTCCTTCTGTCTCAGAAACGGCAGCTGTGTGTTTCCAGCTGCTTGTGTGAAAATTTTGGGTCCACCTTGACTCGTACACATACCCAGCCATTGGGTGCTCTAACAGGCTTCACCTTCCAAACAGGGCCAGTGCCCAAGCCTGGTTCTCTGCAACCCCTGCCCATGCTCGTCCCAGGCCCACCTGGCTTTGATAACTGCCCCTTCCCCGGCAGCCTGTTCCCCACAGAGCAGCTTAAACCTAAGACAGGACTCTGCACTTTCGCCTCCAAGCCCTTTACTGGCTTCCCATCTCCCTCTGTATAACTAATGTCCTTGCTAGGACCCCAAGGTCCTACAGTCGGGTCCTGTCATTTCTCTTGACTTTATTCGCTACAGT